CGCTTCTTACTTTGCAAATCAGGATTCCACCAGGGTTGAGAGCGCGTTCTTCTCATTTTTGATGGAATAGAGTCCTTTGCTGCCCTTATCAGAACCTCTTCAAATTTTGAAACATATGTTTCAATGTCTTTAGGGGTTTCTAAGGGGAGTTTAGAAAGGTTCTCTTTCTCGAATTTACAAGGTCTTCCGAATTTCTCCCAATCAGCTTTTCTCATGTTAAACCATGGTTCTAATCTTTCTTCGGTTCGTATGAGTCTGGCTGGTTGTGAGGTAAAATCCAGTTCAATCACTATGGGCCTGTGGTCACTGGTGGTCCATTCTTTCACCGCCTAGCTAGTCAAGAGGTTTGACAGATTAGATGTGTGTAAGGTTACATCGATGTCCGTCTCACCCCTCGCACTACGGCACGTTAGAAGTTGGTCCCTCCTGTTGGCCACTATTAGCCCGAATTGGTCTATGAATTCTTCAAGGACTATTCCATTCTTGTCCTGTGTGTTAGACCAGATCTTTCACTTGGCATTTGCATCCATTCCAAGTAAGACTCTTTTGCCTTTCAATTGCTTTAGAGTCTCAGCTAGTTTGTCAAGATAGGTCTTCCTGCTGTGGCTGAACTGGCAGTAGATGCTTATGAAATAAATTTCACCAAAGGCTCCGACTATTTGTGCGCAAACACAATGGGAGTCACACAGATTAGAAATCTTGGTAACGGTGACTTTGTGCGGATTGTAAAGTATCGCAGCTTGAATCTTTTCGCCCTTTTTGGTTCCATGAATAGCTGCGATGCTGCCCATACCTGAAATCGCGTTATTCCAGTGATATGGTTCTTGCACCAGTGCCACCTGTATGTCAAGATTTCTGTCTGTCATGATTTCTCCCAGCTCATCGTTGGCTACTTGCCTTTTGTTGAGGTTCAATTGTATGATCCTCAATTTCGGGCCCAGTTCGGGGTTTTGTTGTGCGTTCAATTTAAACCTTTTAACTGGTGCGCAATCGTCTTTGCTTTCGTCATTGTTTGGTTGCGAGGGAAACTGAGTTGACACCGGAGTGTTAGAGCAGTGCTCTGATTTCTCAATTTCTCCTGCTTACGTTTCCTCGCTTTGTTATACCTAGAGTGGTTGACCATATCGCTTTCAAGGTACAACGCAATGTCTAGTTATATTTTTCCTCCTTTGGGATCGCTGCTGGCGATTCTGGAGGGTAGCTTTCCATTTTAGTCCTGGCGTTAACGTGCGCGTTCAATTAAGCAAGTGGCGTTCGAGTGCGAGTAGTGAGTGCTTGTGTGTTGACGTGAGCTTCGTTAGTTACCTTTGCGGGTTTCTCCATGGTTTTCCATGGCTCTTTTATTTACAATTTGATTAAGCTAGTTATTTTCCTAGCGTTTTAATCTATTATTAGATTATTTATTTTGATTTTGTTTATTTTATTTTATTTCTTTTTGATTTGATTTAGAGATTTTGAATCTGGGCTTAAATCTGTAATTTCTGTAATTTTTGATTCTTTCTTATTTATTTTACTTTGATTGGTAACTTTCTTACTATTTTCTATTTACTACACTACTGCTTATACTATTGCTTAAATTATTGTTAACTACTTAGGAACTAATATAATTATAATATAACTTAAAACTAATTACGAGTGTACCAGCGTGTTTTTATTTCACGCTGGGTTTGATTTTTAATCAAACCTCGTTTGGTCCAGTCCGGGTTAGGTGTTAGACGAATTGCAGCCAAAGTAGCATTTGAGTGAGCATGTCGGGTTTCCGCCTTTACTATGTCTTAGCCTGTGTTTGCCATTAGCAGCACTGGATCTGATGGACATTTAGTGCATGGTTTTCGCTTTCAAAGGGAGCTGACAGCCACTAATTTCGCTTTCAATTGCAAAATTGCTTTAGCTATTAGGGCTTAAACAATTCCTTAGCAGGAAGGATGCTGCCCTTCTGTGGAAATATTTTTCCTAAGGGTTTTGGCATCCGTAGTGCGTTCTAGTCATCGAGAGTTACTCGGCCCAATGGACTGTTCTCTCGCACAATTGGTGTCGGGCCTTACTCCGGGAGCTCGAGGCAAAGAACTTTGGGTGGCTGCTATGACCACGGCCGCGACTCTTTACCCACAGTAGTGGCACCTACAGATTGCCAGTCGATGGGAGTAATTTATTATCTACCCGAATTAAATTCGGATTGCCGGGACCATTGGTCCTCTGCAACTAGCTCCCGGAGCGGTCTCCCGTCCTCTAAGAGAGCGCGCGGTACCACAATCCTAAGAGATTTCCCCTCAAGTGACTCCCGGATTTTGGCTTTTCTGGGCTCGAGTTGAGCTCTTGGGGTGTGGTAGACTCCGCGTTGAATGTTTGGGCGTTTACAGGCCGCACCTCACCACGTATTGTCATGGTCCGTGTTGTTTGTTTTGTTTGGCCGGTTGGCCTATTGCCCTGGGGCAAGCGTTGTGTGTTTTGCCTACTGTTTCTTTACAGAGACAGCGTTTTCAGCCCCACCACGTGAAGGTACACACATCCGCACATGTGATTGCAAGTCTTCGTTCAAATATACATTGCATTCACTTCGGGTCGACTAGCATTTGCTGCTTGTCGAGGGTAATCGGTGACGCATTTTGTACTTCAGCATTTGTATATGCCCGTACACAAAAGAGAGAAGTTTTCGACGTCCTCTCCTAAAACAACGAGTTGTTTGTTTGAGGAGTCTCCGTTCTCTGCTAAGGAAGACAATTACTGTCCGCCGCTTTGACAAAAGATTTTTGCACAAAGTGACCTGGCCAGCCTCGCGGCTGGCCATATGGTGCACTATATGCATCCTCCATGTTTTTGCTAAGCGGATTATAATCGAGCTTCCTGAGAGCGTCGTGATTGCAACCGCCTCTACACTAATTACAGTGGGAAGTCTCTCCTTTCAACTGCCGCAGGGCCAAACCAAACGTCTAAAATGAAGATACGAAATATCTGGACTTCTCTGCGAAAGCCGGCTGGCAGGAGCACGTGTGGTTTCGGATGCAATTTCCAAGCCAATGTCGCGGGAGCGTTCACCACTCTCTCTCCCCTACTCTGTCGAACCTAAGTCGGTTCCTGTCGCGCGGCCGTCTCTTTCTCGCACGTCAGCGCGCCTTCGGTTTGGATCTGCACGAGCTTATCCTTCCTCTCGCTAGTTCGCATTGCAAATTAAGTATTCTCTCTCTCTCTCTCTCTTATCTCGTACTCTATTGTCTGCTGCGGCTGCCACTTCTAGGCTTTGTACATAAAATTACATAAATTGATATGAATATAAGTATATAAGTATATATATATATATATATATATATATATATATATATATATAAGAGTGGTTGTTTGAGAGAGAGAGACATAACGAGTGGTTTATCACACGTTATATTCCCCTCCCCCAGACGTTGGTAACGCCGGCGGTACCCACTCGATACCTTGATCTCTTTCGTTCTGAGAAGAAAACTACCAGGAGTATAGGAAAGACAAAGACCACTATTCATCGGGCAGGTCGTTGAGTGTAATGGTTTAGGACAAAATGAGTATAATAACCAGACTTGATAAGAACCATAAAGTTTTATTACAAGTAGCCCCCTTACTCGCTCTCGCTTTTTTTACAAGACTTAAGTGTTAGGATTAAGGCAATGCCGTGGAAAAGAAAAAAAAATATAAAAAAAGCAACTGACTCACGCGGACTACAATACATTATTAGTTTGACACGATAAGTAAAACGCGTAATAGGAGGCAATGAATAAAAAAAAGTGATCTCTCGATGAGGGGTCGTCCTCTTCAGTCTTCGGCGTAGCCAAAGAGGCGCAGGGACGGCTACTGGACGGTCCTCTAATGGAAGGCCCTGGGTCCGTAATCCTCGAGGTAGTTATATCTGTCTGCCAATCCCAGCTCGAATTTCCAGTGCTGAAAAAAGTTCGGGCAGTTTTCTGTCCTGCTTACACCGGTGAGGTTGCATACAAAGCAGTACCGGACACCCCTCTTTGGCACATTAGGCCCATCCCACTTGCCGCAGGGCGTGGTAGCACACATGTGCTTCAGCGCGTGGTACTGAGGGACCAGGTTCTGGTTGCCTTCGCAATAGTGAGCGGCTTGAGCCCTATGAGCCAGCTCCCGGCGCTGATCGAGAGAGAATTGGACCTCTCTCGACGTTAAATCTTCGGCTTCGGCGGCGGGATAGGATGGTGCCTGTGACGCCCCAGCAAGCACGGAAAGCGGTTGGACTTCCGCTTCCAGCAGGTTAAGCTGGGCTAATTGGCGCTGGATCTCTTCCCCCTCTCGGCGCTTTTGTTCCTGGAGTCCCAACAGGCGAGCTCGCTCCTTTTGAATATTCTTCGCCGTATCCCAGCGAGCTGCTGCATCGGCTGAGAAGACGCGGCGCTCCACTTCATCTTTGATCTTGGAGATCAGATCTTCGGGGGCGAGGGCCCGGATCCGTTGGTCGGGATGGTTAGCCAGGGCTAGGGCCTCGGAGTAGGCCTGACCTTCGGCTTGATCAGCCTTACGGCGAGCCACCCGAAGATCTTTTATATTCTGCCTAATGGCTGACCATTGTTCCTGGGGGGAGACGGCATTGGCCATATCTCCTGCTTGACGGGTCGAGGCAGTAGGAGTTGGAAGAGCCGGTACCCAAGGCTGGGCTAGGGCCTCACGGATAGGTTGACGACCGCCTGCCGTATCGGCCCAGGTTAGGAGCAGCTCTTCTATTGAGGGGAGCTGAAGAATCAGCTCGGAAGGGAGAGTGGCTGTTCGCATGGCCATTTCGTTGGCCAGTTCCAAGAGCCGGGTGGCAACGAAGCGCGGAACCTATACCTTAACGGTCTCTTGTTTACCGAATATTTGCTGTGCAGGTAACATGATCTGTAAGGAAGACCGTCGTTTATTGTACATGTATGAGTAATAACATAATGTGTTCAAGAAAAAACAAAAGCATAGCTTATTATATAATGAGCGTTAGAGCGATAAGAAAGGTTAGTGACAAGATAGCGTATATTCATTAATAACTACGATGAGGGATTGTGTCGCGAACGTAGTCGGCGAGGTGAAAGTATAACTGGTGGCCACGCAGGCGGTAGATTTAGGCAGGACTTACGGGGCCTGCCTCTCTTACGTGGAGCTACCGCCTCCTGGGCGGGTGGAGCTTGGCTTGAAACTGGCTGAGAAGTCAGGTCAGCTGTAGGAGAAGGCGTAGCCACTGTAGTAGAGGCCTGAGTCGCCGAACGACCCGCTGCCTCTGGGTTCTTCTCCCGAATAGCCAAATTATGTTGCCCTTCTGTGTCGTCTACCGATTCTGAGGAGGCGTCGTGGGGGAATTGTTCGTTGTCGTTGCATATTTTAAGCTGATTTACAGCTACTTTTTCAATATTTACTCCATTTTCTGATTGGAGCAGGTAGGAATTCATTCCCAAACGTTTAGTCACGATGAACGGACCACAGAATTTTGGGCAGAGTTTGGCGGCAATGGCTTTAGCCGCCGAAGAGAGGACATGATTTTTCTCCCAGACTTTGTCACCGACATTATAGACGACGTCGCGATGGCAGTCGTTAAAGTACTTTTCCTGTCGCGTCTGCGCGGCCTTGCTATTTTCCAGAGCTCCAGCTCGTACTTCGACGAGTTTTTTCATGCGGTCGCGCCATTCGTCACGGGCTGTAGCCTCCAATTGTAGAACCGCCGCACGCTCCTCCTCGCGTCGGACTGTGCAGGGGGGCGCTGGATGTCGCCCGTAGTTGAGGAAAGCAGGGCTTGAGCGAGTAGCTTCATGAATGGCTGAGTTATAGGCGAATGCGAATTCCTCTATATGTTCATCCCATTTCGCATGCTTATCTTCCATGAAAGCGACAATCATAGTTTTAATAGTCCGATTTACTCGCTCGGTGGGGTTCGACTGTGGATTATACGGGGCGCAAGTTCCATGGATCACTCCGTGTGACTTCAGGAACTCATCGACTAACTTGTTTTTGAAGGGCGTGCCATTATCCGAAAGAAGACGGTCAGGGGTTCCGAAGCGAAGGAAAACCCGTTAATTGAGTTCTTTCTTAATGGTTTTACCGTTAACCTTGCGGATCGGAATGCATTCGATCCAACGAGTGAACACATCCATAAAGATGAGCAGGTGCTCATGGCCTTGGGGCGAGCGAGGCAAAGGCCCCATGGTGTTACCGCAGACCACTTCCCAGGGACGGGTAATTACGTGTTTACCCATGAGTCCTGCAGGGGATTTTCGTTCTACTTTTACTTGTTGGCAAATCATACAGTTACGCACAAAATGCGCAACATCTTTGTATATGCCAGGCCAATGATAGCGTAATATGGCTCGTTGATGAGTCTTATATCGCCCTTGATGGCCCTATGTCAGTTCGTCATGACATTCCACCAGGACTTTCTCTCGTTGTTCTCGAGGAACTACTAGCTTCCAGGCGTCGTCATCATTGCCCATCAAATCATCGACTACCGGGTCAGGTCGATAAACATATAAGCGGCCACCTACTACCTTCCAGTAGGGATACGCTTTTGGATCCTGAACGACTTGCGAGATCTTGCGTCTATACCAGGGGTCTTTGGTATTGTCATCGAGGGAGAAAGAAGCTAAAGCGGCGGCGATATCTTCGTCTGTCTCGAACATACGCGAAAGTGCATCGGGCACGACATTGTCCTTGCCTTTGCGATGTACGATATCAAAGTCGTAGCCTTGAAGGCATAACGACCAGCGGCCTAGTTTCCCATTAGGGTTCTTCAGATTCCTAAGCCACGTCAAACTATGGTGGTCTGTAACCACTGTAAAGTGATAGCCTTCTATATATGGGCGACATTTCTCAATCGACCAGATTACCGCAAGGCATTCTCGCTCGGTGACTGACAGGCGACGCTCGGCAGCAGTGAGGACTCTGCTGCCGTAACAAATGACATAGTCGATTTCATTTATCTTAGACTTATTTTATATTTCATTTATCTATTTTTTTTGGACCAACACGAAACCAATGCCCGTGTCGCTGGCGTCACATTCGATGGAGAATGGGGCATTAGGGTCTGGTCTAGCCAGAACTGGAGCAGAAGCAAGGAGAGCTTTAACTTGCTCGAAGGAGGCCCAATGTTCTTCGGTCCATACATATTTGGAATCTTTCCGAGTAAGGGAAGTGAGTGGTTCCGCAATAGCTGCAAAGTCATCCAGAAACTTCCTGTACCATGAGGCTATGCCCAGGAAACGACGTAGTTGTCGCAAATTTTTAGGTCTCGGGTATTGTAAAATGGGTTTCACTCTCTCAGGATCCGGGCGGCAGCCGTTTCGATTCACCAGCACGCCGAGGTAGCGCACCTCGGACATACAGATCTTGGACTTTTTCCTATTTATAGTAAGCCCAGCCTCGTTAACTCGCTTCAGAATCAGCGTGAGCCACTTTAAGTGATCGGTAAAAGTATCCGTTGCAATAATCAGATCGTCTAAATAGGCAAAGGCAAAAGGCTCCATTTCGGGCGTGATAAGCTTATCCGCCAGCATTTGAAACGTAGCAGGACCGCCAGCCAAGCCATAAGGCATCCGAGTAAATTCAAATAAACCCATACCAGGGACAGTGAAGGCCGTAATCGGAATAGACTCTTCCTTAAGCGGAATCTGCCAAAAGGCTCCCGAACAATCTAGGGCGCTTATGTATTTGGCATGTTGTATCTTGCGTAAAATAACATCCATATAAGGTAATGGATATGCCGATATCTTTGAAACCGCATTAACTTTGCGATAGTCCACACAAAACCTATACGTTCCATCTGGTTTCAGGATCATTACCACTGGGCTAGACCACTCGCTCTTGGATCTCCGGATCACTCCCATCTGCAACATTTCGTCCTCTATTTTCTTAGACACTGGATAGTATCTTTGCTTAATCGGGCGCAGGCTAGTGAGGTTAATTTCATGAACGATCCATCCGGTGCAACTTAACTGTTCGCCAGAAGTTTCGGGGACCAAGCTATGCATGACCCTATCGATTTCGGCTCTCTGCTCACCTGTGAGATCCTCGATCCCCAGAGAGAACAAGGCCATTGCCTCTTCAGACTTCTCGGAGGAGAGAGTTGCAGGCACGCCTTCGGAGCAACCTTTGAAAGTTAGCCTGTTAGTCGTGGGATCCAACATGGCCGAAAAGGCGCGTTTGAAGTCAGCACCTAAAGTGCACTCGGTGTCGACTTCTGATAAAATGAGAGCATTAATCGCATGAGTTACCCCCCCTAAGGTAAAGGGTAACTTTACGATACCCATAATGGGTACGTAGTGACCATCGACTACCTTGGCTCCTAGGCCCACATAGGGGAGCACGCACCTATTCAAGGCGGTGGCAATCGAAATAGCGTACGGGCTAAGGACAGTACGGGAAGATCCGGTATCTCAGAGGCCTCTGAATTTATAATCGCCGACACTCACGGTCAGCCACCAGCGAGGTGACTTCTCAACCTGGGCGCTGGTCACAGTACCGCCGTCGCAGGACTGTTGCACGTCGGAAGAACTAACTTGAACTAGCATCGGGTCGTTCACCGTGTTGTGTACAGCCTGCGGAGCTCCTGTGTCGCCGCTAGTTTCGAAGGTCCCGTGGTTTGGGGGAGCAGTAGGGACCTCATCTATGTGCTCCCTTCGTCGTTTTTTGCTTTGAGTTTAGCACTTTCCAGAGGAGCGCACTCAGGGCAGGACTTTTTCGTATAGCCGGGCCAACTGCAGTTCCAACAAAGAAGTTTATCTCCGTCAGGGCCGGTTGCCCGGTCCTTATTCTTATCCGACCTTGGCGTGACCACTAAAGGGGGATTTTTATCGCGGGGTCTAAGACCTCCCCGACCACGGCCTCTGCCTCTATGCGAGTCCCAACGAGGGTTCTTATGCTCCTCACGGCGGTTGAGCTCGGAGTTGGTGCCAGGGCTCCCTTCCTTGGCCTGAATAGTAGGTGATTTGGAGTTTTCCATTTCTCTGAGCTTCTTCTCAAGGATTCTCGTCATCAACTTCTCCAACTCGTCCGCTGAGGCGCTGAGAGAGCTCTCGTTCATGGAGGATAGGCCGGACGGCTTATTCTTGGTGCCCCTCGGAGGCCTATACGCTGTCTCCGGTAGGATGCTGTACTCAGCCGGAGGTGGGGGCTTCCACTGTCCAGCTTCGTCATCTTCGGCCTCTTGGGCTTTGGTCAAAAGTACCCGAACGTCTTCCAAGTTATTCCTATAGTGCTTCAGTTTCTTGTGAAGCTTAGGCAGCATGTTATCTATGACGAGAGTTATCTGGTCTTTCATCTCCCACGGCGGATCCATTCTTTTCAAAATGGTAAGCAGAGCTACGCTATATTCTGTCACTGGTTCTTCTGCACCCTGGGTCCGGCAATGAGCTTCTACCACTAGGTTTCTCCGATTTTTCTTTGATTTGCTGTAGGTTGTGAGAGCCGTATCTTTAAATTCGTCAAAAGTGTCCCAGGTTTTTCTTAGGGCCCTATACCAAAAGAGAGCTGATCCGGTGAATAAGGGAGTCATGGAGTCCAACAGCTCTGTATCCGCCACTCGGTCTAGGCGCCGGTTCTCCTCTACTCTTTCCAGGAACTCTTCAATGCTTAGCCCTTAGGCACCAGAAAATTTGATTTTCCACTCTCTGACTGTTTTCCCCAGGTTCCTGCTCGAGGGGTAATAAGTTGGACCTGTTCGATGTAAACTAGTCATCTGGCTGGCTACCGGTGGGTAGAAATGTGCACCCTGTTGTGGTGAGTTCACTGTCGCGCTAGGTATAGCCCCCCTCCCCCAGCTCGAGCTTGCCGGGGCGGTCGAGGTAACGAGGGAAGCCGTCGGGCCGAGCGAAGAAAGGACAGTGCATGGGGCATGCCGCTTGTCGTGCGAGTGGGCTTGCGCGGGTGTAAAATGCCTTTGGGCCGTCGAGGTGATTGTGGAGAGGAATGTATTCGGCGCCGCCATCGCAGAGGGATTTGTGGTGGAATGGAACGTCGGAGTCCGTGGGTCCAGTAACGAAGTGGTTGGGGGATGAACTGTGTCGTTAAATTTTTGTGTTTCGTCGTAGTAGTTATAACTTAAGGTGTTTTGGAACTGTACTGTTTTTGAACTTTGTGTTTCTAGGCGAGTTAGTTCTGCTGCTTGTTGTTGATTGATGGACCAGCTTGTTTTTAGCTGCTTGTTTTTAGCAGCTTGTTTTTTTCTGTTTTGAGCTTTTGTAAGTCCGTTCCGAGGCGACTGAAATGACTTTCGTATTGTTTCAGCAGGTTTTTAGTTTCTTCTACTTCTTTTTGCCAGGCTGCGAATTGCGCCTGGAATTGTGTTCGTTCTGCATGTCTTGCCATTTCTAGTTTCCATCCTCTACGCAGTTCGTCTGCTATCGGCTTTGTCGTAATTTCTGTCTGGCCATTGGGCAGTACGATTTTTATCAGTTCTTGACTAGTACTGTCGTACTTTGGCGTTGGCGCGGTAGTAGTGGTGTTGTTTACGGTAGTTACATTTGTCGTCATAAATGTACTTGTCTGTTGTGATGGTAATACTTGATGGCTTTGCCCTGTGAGTTCGGGAGATTGTGAGTCTGCTCCTAGGGTTAGCGACATTTCGCTGTTGTTGTTCTGAGATGAGCTGGTTGCCAAACGCTCTTCATTTTCTTCATTTATGGTAATTTGAAGGCTTAAATATTTTTCCATTTCCAAAGCTATATGTAGGTCTTTACTAATGTCGGATGGTAGTGTACCTGATTTGAAGAATGTTTTGGCTAAGTCATCTCGTCTTGTACGGGTCAATGTGTCATCTTCGTCTTTGAGCGCCACGAAGTCCTGTGCTGAATGGTCCCCTTGTAGTCTGCGGTATAATCTGTCCGCTCGCTCAAGAAAGCGTCCCTCG